AAGCAGAACCACAAATAAACAAGTAAAACCGAGTTATAAACTGACGTACATAATAAATTTAAAAGTCAAGGCGGTCAATAGTAAAGTTAATAACCATAAAGGGAAATTCAATAGTAACGGATTATATCAGAACAGTGCTTCTGGAATGTGTAACATTTTTTAGTACACAAAAAATATCGTATGATAAAATCACGAGGACGAAGTATCCAATCAGATACTCAGAATCGCACACATCATTTTAAATGCCAATAAACCATACACTACGTACTTCGTACTACGTTCCTGGTATTCCCTTATATATTCATAGGGTTAAGGATGGGTTTGTATTACGGTTTGTAGCACGTTATTAGCCCATGTAAATATATAAATGTTATTATATAGTAATGAGATATAAGACGTCACGCCTCTTCAAGCGTTCCCTTCCTTTAATAAAATTTTGGTTTGTCGGAATTTTGTCTTTGACAATATTATAGTTTTAGATTAAAATTATCGATATTTTATGGTAAACTTCTGCCAGTAATAATTTAATCACAGTTATAGGCATTTTTATACATATTAAGTTTTTTTTATTCGTGATGGTTTAGTTAAAGTTTAAAATTTCGATTAACCAATAAAATTTTACAATATTACGGGATGATCTACAAAAATTGGCCAATCACCATGGAAGCCAATTATGTCGTCTCCGGCAAAGTTTTGATTGGCTGAAGGTTTCAAATGACCTATCAGATCATTTTGTCTTTGAAATGTCCCGTGAGTGGTCACAAGTCATTTGAGTCATTTGGTCATTTCAAGTCATTTATTATCCCTAATTTTAAAAAACTCCAAATAAAATAGTTAAAGCCAATTGAAAAAAATTTTGGGTCCTGTTAAAATAAAATGCAAAATGTCTTAAAAGTGTTTGAACTGTGGAAACTTCGTGAAAGACATATATATGGGTGTCTAAATTATCTTTAAAAAAATTAATATTTCTGGCTTAATTTTAATCAACCGGAAAATTTATAGACTTTGACAAATTTAATTGGTTGCAATACACGTATCTGTTAAAAAAAGGTTGAAAAACACCTTATTACATCATCACACAATTTTGTGTTCTGTTTTCAATTTTTTGAGCATAAACACGTTTAGTCAGAGTGAAAGAATTAAATTCTATAAGTTCTTTACGGACAATATCAAGAGTTTTATCGAATTCCTCATTAGTAATATTTAGAAGCTTTGACAATGTTAATCTTACTCCCAGATATTGTTCAATCCAATTCTTAACATGCTATTATATAAAATAAAACTCTTGTTAATACCGTTATTAATTTGATAACTATAGGTAAAAATAAAGTTATACAAACCATGTCACCAATATTAGTAGTTTTTGAGTCAATTATTCTTTGTTCACTCCAAATATTTTTGAGCATTTTATTTTGTTCTAAATTCTTTTGTAACTTGTAGCAAATTTTTGTGTCTAATCCAACGCTTTCCCATTCATTGAACACTAAAGTTATTAATATAAGAAATTATTAAAATATATATAAATATTGTTAATAAATATTTTGAATTTGCTTACTGTTAGTTGCAAACTTATTTGTTATAGGACCCATTTTTCCAGGTTCTAGATCATCTTCCATTAACTATAAAATAGAAATATAAAAATATATTAGAAATTTATCAATTTTATTTATCAAATAATTTTGAGTTATCCGACTTGTATGAAGTGACTACAACTGATTCAGAAATTAATAGTGAAAAAGATCCTGAATTGGATATTATTAACACGAAGGAGCCTGAATCAGGAGCCATTAACACGAAGGAACCTGAATTAGGAGCAATTAATACGAAAGAACCTTTTAAAAGTAAGATATAATACATACAAAATATTTAAATATTTCTTTGATAAGTTTATAAAATAAAAATATGTATAAATATATAAAATATCACCTTTTTGTGCGTATATCCAAGTCAGTGTATAG